ATTAATTGGGTTGTTTATATTTTAACAGTGAACAAGAAATTAAACACTTGTAAATTGGACACTCATTATCAAAATTGAATGGTCAACTTTAAGCTGGACAGAAGTACAAATTAAACGATTTATGGTGATTTTAAACAGTTTTTACAATTTTTTAAACAAAGATCTGATATTAAACGAATGTGAAAGAAATTAGTGCTAGATACACAAGATTGAATGATACTCAGGTTACAGTATTAGTATTACGGAATATAAATTCCCATGTAGCTGGGTTGGGATGAACTGGCATGGTATTTTGGTCCGTGACGAGACAAGTTTTTTATATTCATAAATTAAGGCATTTGGTTGGTTTATTAATCAGTGGATTACGGTATCGTCAGGAAACCGTGTAGTTGATTATTTCCCCAACTCAGTTGATTATTTCCCCAACAGAGTCGCTTATATTTGGATGTAGCATTGTGTACCAAACTTGTTATTCCCTAAAATAAATCAATACATCTTTGCCTAAATTAACGGGGGGGGGGGGCATGGCTGAATGATTAGCGTGTGCGCGCTGTATCATAAATCTGTCATTGAGTCAACTGGCGTGGTTTTGATTCCCCGGTTGTACGTGACAAGGGGTAGGTTCGCCTGTCCAACCTCGTGGGTTTTCTCCGGGTCCTCCGGGTGGACCGCTAAAGACCCCTACGCACAAGCGAATTATTGAAATGAAATTAAACCATACGTTAGTCCCGAAATGACATACTTTGCAATGATTACAATATACAATAACTGTTGGTTGTAATGATATACAACAACTATTGGTTGGAATGATTACAATATACAATAACTGTTGGTTGTAATGATTACAGTATGCAATAAATATTGGTTGCAATGATTACAATATACAATAACTGTTGGTTGTAATGATATACAACAACTATTGGTTGGAATGATTACAATATACAATAACTGTTGGTTGTAATGATTACAATATGCAATAACTATTGGTTGCAATGATTACAATATACAATAACTATTGGTTGTAATGATTACAATATACAATAAATGTTGATTGTATTGATTACAATATGCAAAAGCTATTTGTTATAATGATTACAATATACAATAACTATTGGTTGCAATGATTACAATATACAACAAATATTGGTTGTAATGTCACTAGTTTTAATTATTACAAAATAGAAACTGATGCGGTTACCAATGATCGATCGTTTATATGCCCGTCTCGAGTAAAATGCTTCAGTACAAGCTACCAGTGACAGTAATCCAGTTAACAATAGGCTTCTCCACATGATGAAATCTGGAATTAGTAAGACAGAGCAGATTTGTTCAAGTGAAAACCCCAACACTAAACTTGTTAAGTTCAAACTTTTCCGGAATGGTTTGCCCTTGTCAGATGTGCAGGTCAGTGTGGGGTGGGGGGAGGGGGTCATTCAGATGGACTAACATCCAGCGCTTGAATCTTGAAATTTTAACCTCATTTGCGAGAACTGTAGTTGCGAGGTCATTTCAAGCTTAAAGGTAAATTTCTAAACAATAACTTAGGATAAGGGGCCACTCTAAAACAACTTGCGAATGTTCATTTTCATTTCGCAAAAATCTCTGGTATTGATGTTATTGGAAGTACAGCCTTAAAGTTACGATTTCATATTTTTAAGTTATATTTTTAAAATGTTTTAAAATAAAGCCTTAAAATAGATGGTATCTATAAACAGTCCTACCTAGTTAAAGAATAATCCTATTAATCCTATAATTCACTATTGCCAGTTGAGAAATTGGCAAAAATATTATTTTCAACTTCAAATTCAAAAGTGTGAAGGTAGCTATTCCATGGTGGGGAAAAAGAAAACAAGGGAGATAATTGGGGGGGGGGGTTAAATCGTGAAGGAAAGTTATGCCGTAAATCGGCTCATAATGCACTTAAGATCGCAGATTAGCGATGCCATCTAGAGTTGATTATGATCTGGATAGGTTAAGTAATGTCTAATTAGTAATTTAGATAAGATTTCAAGCCTAAAGAAAGACCTGCAATAAACAGATTTAGCTCTTCCATAATGTATGTTTAATATTATCTAAAATCAACCACTTGCTGTTGGATATACAGAGTTATCATTTAGTAAACTATGTTTCGATTATCTTTGGAATGTTGACACAGGAATAAGTTAAACATACATTATGCAAGAGCCAAATCTGCCTATTGCAGGTCTTTCTTTAGGCTTGAAATGTTATATAAACTATTAATTAGACATTTATTTACGTAAAGAGACCTTCCTCAACTCTTGATGCCATCGTATGTGTTAGATTTTCACTGGATTTGAATCCTAACTGCTGCTCAACGCTCATTGATGATTAATTGCAAAAATGGATAATCGAGATTATGTTGTTGTTTGTTTTTATCGTATCGACTTTAGTAATGATGATCGAGGCTAGACCTAATATTCAATGGCTAATATATCGGTTCAGATTGGAGCAATTTGATTGAAATTTTCAGCATGTTCCCTTTACATTATTTAGTTTTTAACTATCATAGTGAAAACTGTCAGCTCTTTATCTAATCTTCCATAATGTATCTTTAAAGTAAAATCCAACAATCAGTAGGCAATATGGGTCGTATAAGTTTCATTTAGGCATATTTAATGTCATCCATGACTTGATGTGCGTGATTAATTCAGAGAGCTTGCTGGTATAAGTACCGGACATTATACAGACCCTTGTGGTACTATATAACTATATAGACTAAGGGGGGGGGGGGGTCACGGTGGCTAAGTGGGTAAGACAACTGTTAGCTGGCGCTGTTACAACCCCTATTGTAATAACAACCCTTATTGTAATAAATGTAATAATTGTAATAAAATTTCAATTAACCCCTATTGTAATATCAACCCCTATTGTAATAACTGTAATTAATGTATTTTACCATACAATAAATTCGACATCTAAATTTAAAAGTCAATGGATTTTGAAAACCCATTGAATTTCAATATATAGGAGTAATGGTATACTGCATAGAATATTATGAAACACCGCGACCGAAAACATGATTAAAAGCCGTTAACGAGTTTGGAGAAATTATTAAAATGGAATGTCAACCCTTATTGTACTCAATGATATTTAAATAAACGTAAAGTATGTTCTCTAAACTATCTGTCGTCTGAGGATTTTGAACATCTTTTCCGTGTGCAAAGCAGATCAAATAATCCTCCTGATAGCATTTTTTAAAATCCTTCTCTACACTTAGACACATTTATTACAATAGGGGTTGATATTACAATAGGGGTTACACGGTATAACCCCTATTGTAATGAAATTTCTGTCAACCCCTATTGTAATAAATGTATTTTGCCATGTCAATAAAATCGACACCTAACTTTAAATGTCTATGGATTTTGATCACCATATCCGTATGAATATAATTCTTATAAGAGTACTGATATGAATTTATACAATAGGGGTCGATATTACAATAGGGGATACACGGTATAACCCCTTTTGTAATAAAATTTATGTCAACCCGTATTGTAATAATTGTAATAAATGTGTCTTGCCATATCAATAAAATCGACACCTAGCTTTAAATGTCTATGGATTTGGATCACCATATCCGTATCAATATATATGAGTACTGGTATGAATTTATACTGTATAGAATATTATAAAAACCCAACTGAAATCATGTATCAAAGACGTTTGGAGAATTAATAAAATGGAGAGTCAATCCCTATTGTAATCAATGATATTTAAAAAAAAACCTGAAGTATGTTCTCTGAAATATCGGTCGTCTGTTGACTTTGAACGTCTTTTCCTTATGCATATCAGATAAAATAATCCCCCTCATCGCATTTTTAAAATTCTCTTCTGCAGTTAGACAAATTTATTACAATAGAGGTTGATATTACAATAGGGGTTACACGGCATAACCCCTATTGTAATAAAATTTATGTCAATCCTATTGTAATAATTGTAAAAAATGTGTTTTGCCATGTCAATAAAATCGACACCTAACTTTAAATGTCTATGGATTTTGATCACCATTTCCGTCTGGATATCTACGCATTGTTGACATCGACTCTGTCGAAATTACAAGTACATTTTCAAATTTTTCAAGAGAGAACTTGTTCTCATCGTTGTGATAATTAGTTGTGCAATGGATTTTATCGAACGGGAGTTCATTACAAACACACAGGTAAGTTTATAATAACCAAAGTTAAGTAGTTTGTTCATAATCGAAGAAATCCGTTTAAAATTTACGATGGTTCACACAGTAGATCATTTTCTTTTTCGTTTTCAGTCTCCCCTTTCAACTCCGTAGCCATATAGTTGGACACCAAAATAGCCGCTACCAAAATGTTAATCATATTTTTTCTCGTCGGTCCCACAGCCAAAAGGTCGCACATCTCTTTTTTTGTCGATCTGAATCTGCTGGAAAAAGTTATTTATCTCTACCAATGACAAAGATTGTATGTTCTGGCCCTTCTTTATGTCGGCCATTTTTTTCGGGGGCGTATCGTTTTCCCTGTATTTCTTTATTACATCTATTAATTTTATTGTAAAACCATTTATGCAACATGGCCGCTCCTCCATCCCTGTTGTTGACATCGTTCGTTTCTATGGCAGTGCACGGACGGGCTGCGTCTTGACGAGTCGGTGTGTTCAAACCAAGTAAAGACTAGCGACTAGAAGTACGGTAACTCTTCAGGATCAAGGGTGGATAATTCGATGACCAGTGTATTAATGTGTATATTACTTGTCTTATTACAACTTATTGCACTGAATGGTGGACGGGACGGGGCGTGTCTAGCGTTTTAATACATTGAATACAGTGCATTAATGTGTATACACCCGTTACATTACAATATACTGCACTGGATAGGGATGGGAAGGGAGGGCAGGGCAGGGGGTAACTAGAGTATTAATACAGTGTATTAATGTGTACACACCTGTCGCATTACAGCACTGGATACACATACAAAGAATACAAGTGAGTAGTTCGGCGCATATAATAATATTAATAATAAAAACTTTATTTAATGAGGCAACTTATTTAGTTTGCAAAAAAAACCCAATCATCCAGGAGTCCCTCCTAAGCTACAAAGACACATATGTACTATCAGGATAAATTCAAAAACATTTGAAATACAATAGCATTTTAAAGTGAGAATTTTGGGAAGTCACTACTAAACTACAAAACATATATACTATACAAGTAAAATATAGGAAGAACACTATAATTACACACCAAATAAGATAGAATGCAGTTGCAAGTTAAATATAAGTATGTCATCAGTTGAATTAAAATAAAACCAAGTACGAACAATCCAAACCATAAGACAGAATTCGAAGTCCTAAAAAACGTTATAGGCAAAATAGTTTATTCAAGCAAAATAGTGTAATCAGCAAATGGACTGCTCCTCGTGTACAAATTACACGACAAACAGTGGTAACAGGTGTCCGGAAGAGTAAGCTTACTTTAGTGTTCAATATAAATGAGTTTTCAGTTTAACCTTAAAATTTTGAACATTTTTACACATCTTTATATAAAAAGGAAGATTGTTCCATAAAATACATGCAGAATAATGAAAAGTACGTTTCATGGATTCCGTTTTGCATTTCGGAAGGAAAAGAGATTTACTGGTCTGTGAACGGAGCAAGATATCAGTTTTGGAAACAAGAGATTTTTCAATAAAATAGGAGTTTAGATAAAGTGGTGTATTAAATGTAATAATTTTGAATGATAAGACAATTTTATTATAAAGAATCCTCTGTGTAAGGGTAAGCCAACCAAGTTTAGTAAATAAAGAGGTACACGGAGTTTCAATTGGTGCATCAAGAATAATTCGTGCTGCCCTCTTTTGTAATTTTAAAAGAATGTCTAATCTACTTTTGGTAGCATTCCCCCAAATAATAGAGCAATAGTCAAATATTGGTAGTATATAACTGTTATAAAACAAACTGATCTTTTATCTTATTTAGCAGAAATACTTTTGATGCAAGTTTTTTTTAGACAAATGTGGTATCTGTGCTTCTCAATTAAGGTCTTAGTCAATTTGAATTCCAAGTAATTTTGCGGTAGTAACCGTCTCAATTTTCTCACCATGAAGTGATAAAGTTAGATTTTTCTCATTTCTTTTTGTGTTTTCATGAAATCAGCATTGATTTTGTTTTCGAACGATTGATTGATACAAATGTACATTTACTTAATTCTTCTGTATTTTTTACAGCTTATTGTTTCCTGTTATAGTATATAACTAGATATCGGTATTTGTATTTTAGACAGCTGATTGTTTTATGTAATAGTATATAACCAGATTGCGGCATTGGTATTGTCTATTGTATGATTAGTATTTTCGTGGATAGTACAGAATGTGAACAAAAGAATACACGATTCGTTAACACAATTAGAGACTGCCAAAAATCAGTAGTAAAATAACAACAGTGACAGCAACTACCACTACAGCTCCGGTTTTAGATAACACACCACAACCCTGAAAAACACAAGTTATAATAAGCGTAGATTAATGGTCGAATGCGACATATTTAGTAATATTTTGATATTGTACGAGTGCGATAATACGATGGCAAAGTCTATATATATTACGCAATATCTTGCACGAGACCATTAAACAACTTAAAATACAGACACTCTCCAGCACGTGCATTTCATTGAAATACGTCACGCGGGTCCAATATTGCAACTAGTATAAATAATGTACGCTTGACATATTGCCCGTATCATTATGACGTCGCATCTGTATTTTAAATATAAAGAAGGGTCAGACTGGTAGTGAACATACGTCTGAGGCAATTGATGCTAGCTTTACCTGCTATTCATAGGGATTGGAAAGTTTATGCTAAACACAAAAACAGATTTCCTTGAGGCTTAAATAGTATGCCTTATATAAGAACTAAATTGGCCTTCACATGTTTTATAAATTATTAATTAGACATTTAATCACATGAAAAGCCAATAATCAACCCTCTAGATTATAGGGTGGTCGCGATTTCCAATGGATTTGTATCTATTATACTATCATTTATAGTATTCATTTTTTATTTTAAAAAAAATATAAATACCTCGGATGCCATTGGTACATTTTCTAACCAATTCAGTGTGTCCCGAGCACATCTTTCTATACTGTGGACGTCATGTGAAGATGTGTCAGAGAAGGGATTAACTGGATCAAGAACATACGTTGTTTCAGGGAAGTAACTTGACCTAAACAGATGCAAAGAAACGGATGTAATTCTTTCTAGTGGTAAAAACCCCTAATTAAACGTTACCCGTTCTGTAGGGAAATAGTGAAAGGATTAACGGGGTTTAGAACATACATTGTTTTAGGGAAGTAACTTGACCTGAAAAGTATCACATATGAAGAGCACCGGGGGAAGTCACCTTTTCAACGAACCTCAGTTAATGGCGCCATCTAGTAGCAAATTGTATAAGCCCTCTGTGGAGCAATCAATTTCAGGTAAAAACGATCGGAGTCACATCGAACCAAGGCCCTTCTGAAATGGCCTCCCGCCCGGAAAAATACAAGTCCATCGTATCCTTTATTTAACCTTATTTTGAAGTTGTAATTAAACCCACTCGTTGTTCTGTTCGCTTCAAGCATTCTCGTCCAAAAGTCTGTTTTGCCTTTATGCGAAAAGACAAAAATGTGACTTAGCTCATTCTTCCCCTGGACTCTTCGTATAATTCTTTCTAGCGTTAAAAAACCCTAATTAAACGATACCCGTTCTGTAGTGTTTTAGGGACGAAATTTGACCTAAACAGATGCAAAGAAACACATTACTCTTCTGTATGCAAGGTATAAAGACGGTTACCTCTAAGTGCGGGTAGGTCTTAATAATGATATTAGTAAGAGGGGTGGGGTGGGGCTCTTAATGATGATATTATTAAAAGGGGAATGTGCTAGGAGGGAAATAATGATATTAGTAAGAGGAGTGGGGGTTGGGGGCAGTTAATAATGATAATATTTAAAGGGAAATTTGCCAGGAAGGAAATTTTTCCCGGACAGCGGCGCTATGGTCTACTATTGTATCGAATTCCAACTCTCAAGGTTCTTTAAAGTGCCCGTCAATGTATACCATCCGTCCTCCAACATTGAGAACAGAAAACCACGCCGGAAAGACCTTGTAAAATTTCTCGGTTAACACCGGGAGCAAACCCGTGACCTTCCGGATATCGAGGGAGCGTCTTACTCACTTAGCCACCGCGGCTCCCTGGAGAATACAAACTGATAAAACGTATCTGTTAAGATGATACTATAACACGTGATAGTGGGAACCTAGCAGAAGATGATGATACTATAACACGTGTCAATTCAGCTTACCAATTACGTGTGCTATAGATTCCAGGTATTGTGATCTGTAGCTGTCTATAGGAACTAAATAACTCCATAGCTTTATAAAAACCAGTTTTCATTTTAAAGTTAGTTTTACTGTTCAGATGTTCGTCATAAATATACAGCCCCATTACCTCACAACAATACGACGCCATCGTTAGCCCATTAGTCTGAAAAGTTATATAAAATTATTTATGATATAAAGTATTTATTATACATAGTATATGTTTTATATAAGATTATTTATGATATAAAGTATTTATTATACATTGCATATGTGTTATATAAGATTATTTATGATATAAAGTATTTATTATGCACATTATGTGTATCATATAAAGTAATGTGATGCACAGTATTGTGTAGCATATAAAATACTTGTTTATTCATTCAGAAGAGTATTATGACCTAGTTTGTGTCGAGTGGACGTTAAACCCCATTTCTGTCTCTCTCTATTAAGAGTTTTATGCAATATATAAAGAATTATATAAAGTAATATATCAAGTATTATAAATATAAAGTATTTGCATTACCTTGTACCAGTATTTAAGTAAACGAATCAAGTCTTTAACTTTAGCTTGTTTAGGTCGAATCATTGCCAATTGTTGTTTACAGAAACAAACGGAGTAATGGCTCCTGACATCACTTGATTTATTTTGCATTTCTCGATAAACAGACTGCATATCCTCACCTGTTGTAATATAAATAAATATATAATAACGATGTCCTCTATCCCCATCTGTTGTAATATAAAATATTGTATAGAATACAGGTGAGCGATAATCAGTTAATATACTAGATATCCAAGATATTCATTCAAATTTCTTTACTCTGAAAGAAGTTATACAGCGTAGATAGTTCATTATCGTACCAACGGTACTTGACAATGCATTTAAATCGTGGACATCCGGTTACCTAGATAGTTGGTAATATGCTTTTCATGTTAATAAATGGAAATTGTGTCGCATATTGGCGTTCTTGCATATTGCATCGTTAACCCATATCTTCTTTAGATATGCCCACATGGCAATTTTGTCGCATATTTGCGTTACCTTCGTCCGTCCGTCGTCCACAATTTCGTATGAGGAATCCACAAAATACAATTATCATCAGATCTGTACGAAAGCCCAGAAGGCTCATTCCAAATTCCAAATTCCAAATGCGAAATTCCAAATTCCAAATTCATGTCTTACCGATAAAATAGCAAATTGGCAGCCCCCCTCAATTAAAAAAATTAGAATTTATATAAATTCTAATTTTACACAACTAATTACTTTTAGTTTACCTATCTGGGCCTGATAAATACCCGTTCCAAATTACTAGATTCCAAATTCCAAATTCCAGATTCCAAATTCCAGATTCCAAATTCCAAATTCCAGATTCCAAATTCCAGATTCCAAATTTCAAATTCCAGATTCCAAATTCCCAATCTGATCCGACCAATCGGATCAGGTTTTTGCTTTTGACTAAAGAGAGAGAGAGAGAGAGAGAGAGAGAGAGAGAGAGAGAGAGAGAGAGACGGGGTTTAACGTCCACTCGACACAAACTAGGTCATTTCGGGACTAACATATGTTTTAATTTTATTTCAATAATTCGCTTGCGCGTAGGGGTGTTTAGCAGTGGGAGGAAACCGGATAACCCGGAGAAAACCCACGAGGTTGGACAGGCCACCCTACTCCTTGTCACGTACAACCGGGGATTCGAAACCACGCCAGTTGACTCAATGACAGGCCGTAATCAGTTAGAGTATAATAACAATTTTTTTTTTGCTACAGCAGCAAATTTGGAATTTGGAATCTGGAATCTGGATTTGGAATTTGGAATCTGGAATTTGGAATTTGGAATGAGCCTTCTGGGCTTTCGTAGATCTGTATAAATATGAAGAGTCTAGGGGAAGAACGCTCTGAGTCACATTTTTGTCTTTTCGCATAAAAGGCAAAACAGACTTTTGGATGAGAATGCTTGACGCGAACAGAACAACGAGTGGGTTTAATTGCAACTTTAAAATAATGTTTAATACGAATCATAATTAACAGTACAACAACTGACGTCCACTTTTCAGCCAAATTAAGGTAAAATTTAGGGTACGATGAACGTATTGGCTAGGGAGGCCTTTTCAGAAGGGCCTTGGTTCGATGTGACTCCGATCGTTTTACCTGAAATTGATTGTTCCACAGAAAGCTTATACAATTTGCTACCAGTGGGCGCCATGGGATTCGTTGAAAAGGTAACTTAGATCGTTGTTCCCCGGGGCTCTTCATACGTGCGTGCTGTATCATAAGGCCTGTCATTGAGTCAACTGGCGTGGTTTCGTATCCCCGGTTGTACGTGACAAGGAGTAGGGTCGCCTGTCCAGCCTCGTGGGTTTTCTCCGGGTCCCCCGGTTTCCTCCCACTGCTAAAGACCCCTACGCGCAAGCGAATTATTGAAATAAAATTTAAAACCATATGTTAGTCCCGAAATGACCTAGTTTGTGTCGAGTGGACGTTAAACCCCATCTCTCTCTCTCTCTCTCTCTCTCTCTCTCTCTCATTCTCTTTCTCTGAACACTTCAACGTATAAAGTGGTCCTCCGATCTGCATAAAATTCACGTGCATCATAGAAACGAAGAAGACTATTGAATTTTAACAATTTCCGTTAATTGTTTTACTGCACAGACCTTATAGGGACTCGAACGACAAAAGTTTATCATCTGATCTGTATGAAAGTGATATGCATTAGTGAAATCGTTCAATGAAATGGAGACGTCTATTTGTCCTTGAGGTAATGGCCCTTGTTTCATTTCTAGAACCTTGTGAACGTCCTGATGACAATAGTTATAATCTGATTGGTATGAAATGAATTATTTAAAGTAAAACAATAAAGTCTATAAAATTCAATACTTCCTTTTAATTATGAGTTATAGCCATGTTTCGCATTGTAAAATATAGTGAATACTCATACAACAAAAGCTATCATCCGATGTATATTGAATTGATATGCGTTATTAAAATTAGTGGAACGAAGACGCTAATTACTTCTATAGTTGTGACAATTGTTTCACATTATAGAATTCTATGAACGCTCAAACAACAAAAGTTACGATACGATCGGCTGAATAGTAAAACAAAGAAGTCTAAAATCTCAGAACTTTCTGATAATTGCGTCTTGAGTTATGACCCTTGTTTCACTTTGTAGAATCTTGTGAACACTCTAATAACAATGAGTTTCAACAATATTATTAACTGTCCAAATAAATGGAATGTGAACTACACGGACGACTTAGCTGTGTGGTTGGTTAACTACCTATGTGTAATGTTATCGAAGAAATATAATTATTGCATCACACAGAAGAATCTGACGACTGGTATATTATGACACCAGCTCTTTGTAAACCAGTTCTTTGTCTTACCATGTTTGGCGACTACATATATTGCAGGTAGAACGTCGACTTCAACAGACTCACTTCTACCCTTGTACGGAACATATACCATAAACTTGATTAAATATTCGTTACATTTTAACACATGTATTGAGTCCATCCATTCGGGTTTTGACGGAAATAACCATCTATACAATACTGGGTCGGGATTACACATATATTTCCTGACATCCCGAATAATTTGTGGTTTATCTGCAATCAAACTCTCCATATCCGTATAACCATTGAAGAAAACCACCATATCAGCATCAGCATCACTCAGAATAGATGTTCCCTTTCCCAACGAACCACTCTACAAGCAAATATTGAAAATTAAAGCCATTTTCTTTGTCTACCTAGATGTTTAGTGGTTGGACTCCATATAACCACGACTTTAACATAGACTATCCAGAAAGGACTGGTCTGTATCCAAATAAAACAGAGTAGTGTCCCTTCATATAAATAGTTAGTGGATCGATTCCCTTAGCCATAACTTTAACATGGCTAGAGCTATTTGTTAAGGCCAACTCAATTTTCGTTAAGATCGCTGAGATGTAAATAAGGTTAGGGCGCGTGATTGTTGACGAGATTGTGGGTTAGGGTTAAGGTAAGCTTAAGGGTTAGGTCAAGGGTTGGGGGTCACCGCTAGCTCTGTCTACATCTTGTGACCTTTGACCATACTTGAAGTTGGCCTTATCAAATAGATCTAACCCTTTAACTTGGCATATCAGAAAGGACTGGTCTGTATCCAAATAAAACAGGGTTGTGTCCCTTCATATACTTATATACACCATAATTGGTTCGAAAGATAGAGATTTGTTTGCGGTACCATCTTAGGTAGAAGAGCACGTTAAACCCGACTTAAAGTCAAGTGAACAGAAACACAGACTTTAGCGACCAGTGGATACAAACTAGGGCATTTAGTGGCTAACCGATGGCGTAATTAATGCTAATTCAAGAATTCACTTGTGCGTAGGGATTTTGGAATGGCAAACGAGGGGGGGGGAGGTATCTTAGCTTACCAATCGGGTTGTTTTACAGGTAGAATGAGTATATGGCGGAGCAGCTTTAGATGCTGATTCGACAAAATCAACGTCATTAATTAGCTAGACTTGTGATCGGATGGATGAACAGTTAAGGCTACTATCAATACTTGTCTTATTATCCAAATGTTTACCTTGACGACTTCCTGAATACTGTAACCAGGCATTCTGTGTAAATATCGAACTACTTGATCTACCGTGTGATTTACACGCTCTTTAAAATCATTTGGTGGCCGGATCGTTTTATCTATAAACTTCTCCAAACTTTCTCCCCGTTCATAACCTCGCAGGTAGCTACTCATCTAAATATAGAAATGTATACCAAATTGATACGTGTTTCGATGACCTGGATAAAATACAGATTTCTCCTTCGATTCGTTTTATATACTATCGATCGCCTCCACAAGATTAAGATCTGCAGTGGATGGGGGACTTCAGGGGTCATACGAACAGGCAGGTTGCAGTGGGAAGAGGGCGGCGTCAGGGGTCATATGAACAGGCAGGTTGCAGTGGGAAGAGGGCGGCGTCAGGGGTCATACTAGCGACTTTTTGCAATATTCAGAAAAACACAGGGGTCATGTGAATGCTATTTTTAGATCCAGTGGGACGAGGGCGGGGTCAGGGGTCATACTAGCGACTTTTTGCAATATTCAGAAAAACACAGGGGTCATGTGAATGCTATTTTTAGATCCAGATATGTGCCACAAATTACGACTGAAACCTCGAGTTTTCAAAATGAATGAAATGAAATGATATATGAATTGTGTTGTAATGACACGTCAACACCAACCGCCAAACATATGGTGAATAATACGAAACAAGCTATATAAAAAAAATATCACAGACTATTAAATAAATAGAAATAAAAATCACAACTTGATGTATACAAATATTTAAAACTAGAAAACAAATTCGATAAAAATTTGTTTCTGTTCAGAAACTTACATTAATTTTACAATTAATGGTGTAAAAACTGGTAATTGAAGTATTTTGATCTTACTGCACTAAATGTGCTGAACTGTCAAAAGAACATGACAGTGTTGACATTCTGATCCGATACCAAAGAGTTAATTCTGCAAAGAGTGGAGACATGTTAGCGTATTCAGAACAATGGTCTATTTATAGTATAGCGATTAATGACACGACAAAACATAATTTAATTTCCACAAACAAACGTATTGTTATTCAAATACTTGTACTCCTATCCTATTGTTTGGTATTATCGGCCTGTTATTTTACAGAAATAGAATGATTTTTGGAAGTGTGGTTTAATAACATTTCTTAAACATGCATTATGCAAGAGCTAAATCTGCCTATTGCATGTCTTTCTTTAGGCCTGAAATGTTATCTAAAATTCAGTCACTAATATCTAGGTTCAGAATGAAGCAATTTGATTGACATTTTCAGCATATTCTCTTTTTATTATCTTACCTATTTCCCCTTTAGGTAGTGTTTGATTAAAGATTCATTATGAAAGATTTAGATAAAGAACTGACCATTGATAATGTAAAATGAAAATATTGAAAATTTCATTCAAATTATTGCATTCTGAGCCAAGTTGTCAGTGTTTGTAGTTTTGACAAGATGTGTGCATTGTGGTAACCAGGACACTGGTATATTCGAGACTTAACCTCGCTTTCCCATTTTTGAATTAAATTCTTAAATGGTGAACCTTTCTAATCTAGTTAAAATCTCGAGTATCCGATGCCATCAAGAGTTGATTATGGTCTTGTTTTGTTAAATGTCTAATTAATAGTTTATATAACATTTCAAGCCTAAAGAGAGAGCTGCAATAGGCAGATTTAGCTCTTGCATAATGTATGTTTAAGGGAGATAACTGGAACGACAAGCGACATTGACCATCCATTTTATCGTAATATTGTGCAAGATTGTCGCAAATTATTTTATTTTATATAATTGACGTATTCTTGTCAGTTTTTCACAATAATTGGGAAGCACAGATAGCAGATATGTCTAAAAAAACTTGCATCAAAAATATTTCTCCTAAATAAGATAAAAGATCATTTACCTTACGAGACAAGAATTTTGTTTTATAACAGTTACATACTACCAATATTTGATTATTGCTCTATTATTTGGGGAAATGCTACCAAAAGTAGATTAGACATTCTTTTAAAATTACAAAAGAGGGCAGCAAGAGCTATTCTTGATGCACCGATTGAAACTCCGTCCACCTCTTTATTTACTAAACTCGGTTGGCTTACCCTTACACAGAGGATTCTTTACAATAAAATTGTCTTATCATTCAAAATTATTACATTTAATACTCCACTTTATCTAAATTTCCATTTTATTGAAAAATCTCTTGTTTCCAAAACGGATATCTTGCTCCGTTCACAGACCAGTAAATCTCTTTTTCTTCAAAAATGCAAAACGGAATCCATGAAACGTACTTTTCATTATTCTGCATGTCTTTTATGGAACAATCTGCCTTTTGATATAAAGATGTGTAAAAATGTTGAAAATTTTAAGATTAAACTGAAAACTCATTTATTTTGCACACTGAAGGAACCATAATATTCAACTGATGACATACTTATTAGTTTTTAACTTGCAACTGCATTCTATTTTATTTTGTGTGTAATTATAGTGTTCTTCCTATATTCTACTTGTATAATGTATATGTTTTGTAGTTTGGGAGTGACTTATCAAACTTCCCACTTTAAAATGCTATTGCATTTCTAATGATTTTAAATTTATCCTGATATTACATGTATATATGTCTTTGTAGTTTAGGAGGGACCTATGGAAGATTAGTTTTTTTTTTGCAAACTAAATACGTTGCCTCATTAAATAAAGTTTTTATTATTATTATTATTATTATTATAATTCGGTAGTATTTGGTATTTGATAGTATCCGGTGGGGATGTAGTATGTGATAGGATTCGGTAGTAGTCGGTGGTATTCGGTAGCATTCGGTAGTATACCGTAGTATTCAGTGGTATTGGATAGTAAATGGGGATGCATTATGTGATAGGATTCGGTAGTAGTCGGTGGTATTCGGTAGTATACCGTAGTATTCGGTAGTATCCAGTGGTATTGGATAGTAAGTGGGGATGTATTATGTGATAGGATTCGGTAGTAGTCGGTGGTATTCGGTGGTATTCGGTAGTATTCGGTAGTATACCGTAGTATTCGGTAGTATTGGATAGTAGGCGGGGATGTATTATCTGGTAGGATTCGGTAGTAGTTGGTAGTATACGGAAGTATTCGGTAGTATCCGGTGTTATTGGATAGTTAGCGGGGCTATATTATCTGGTAGGATTCGGTAGTAGTCGGTAGTATTCTCTATTCGAGATTTCAGTTAAATATGGAAATGACACCATGTAAAGTTTCCTAACAGCCCCCGTATGTCAGTTACATAATATACAGAATAACATATTGAACAGTCTCCTAGCCTCCCCACGTGTCGGTTAAATATATATATAAAACAAAACACAGTAAAAAATGTCCCAGCCACTATATATTTCCATTAAATACAACAATAGTATAAATGTCCTACCCATCCCATACTTCAGTTAATAAAAATAAAAAAAAAATATAATGAAAATACATAAATTCAGACCTTGAAAGTCATTACCCTAGCTTAAACATACATTATGCAAGAGCTAAATCTGTCTATTGCAGGTCTTTCTTTAGGCCTGAAATGTTATCTAAATTATTAATTAGACATTAATTAACCTATCCAGACCATAAGCAACTCTAGATGACATCGCTAGCCTGCGATCTTTAGTGGATTATGAGCCAATTTACTGCATAACTTTCATTCACGATTTAACGATTAAATGGATAATCGACACTATGCTGTTTATTGTACTGACTTTAGTAATGATGATCCAGGCCAGCCGGAAAATTCAACCGCTTAGTTCTCTGTTCATAGTGGATCAATTTGAATGAAATTTTCAGCAAATTGCCTTTACATTATCTAGTTTTTAACTATTATAATGAGAACTGCCAACTCGTTATCGAATCTCCCATAATGTACCTTTAATATAAAAATAATACCCGGAAAAGTTCCCTAATACTCTCATATTTCAGCTTAATATAAAAATAATACCCTGGAAACTTAATGGCAAACAAGTTCCTTAGGCAACTCATATTCAAGTTTAAAAATATAAAAAAACATAACGAGAAATGTCCTAGTCATCCGATGTGTCATTTAAATATAAAACATCAGATTGAACAGTTTCCTAAACCGCCCCCCCCCCCCACACACACACACACACCACCTTTTCAGTATAAAAAGAACATAATGAAAATATTTCAGTATGACAAATAATAAAATATCCCAGTCTTTGCACCTCGTCCACGTATTTTGGTTGTACGGACGACTTGACATCTTCCGAGTAAGTTTTCGGGTGGCTGCACACCAAATTTCAGTCAATTTGAACGACAACTTTTTTATTTTACAGTCATTTTATTTTCGATAGTTTGTACATACGATGTCCTAGATGACGCCATCTTGCTTATTGTATTCGTATACTCGATTATCAAGACACTAAGACGGCTTCCCGCATACTAAGCTTATCCGCTAACACCACCGCTTATATTAATGTTTGTCGGGGTCGGTGATTTACTCTGCCAAACCTGCTATTCAATATAACAGTCTGAAAACATTTTGGACTGGGATCAAACGTGATCTAACAAGACACTCGGAATAGCGGACCGACGGATGCGTCGACAATATACGACCACATTTCCATGTGGCCGTATAAAAAGGGAGGCGTTTGATTATAGGACATTCGTACAAACGAACAAACGGAATATCAGACCATGAATAACGGACGGGAACAGTAAAGCACCAACCGGAAACCCCGACGAAAATCGTTATTATTTTTTTTTTTTTGGCGCTATTGCACTTTCGTACCTCTACCAGTTCCCGTGGTCGTAGGCACCTGAAATTTTCAGGGGATGTTAAGTGGGACTAGCAATGACCACACACCATGACTTCCTTTCGGACACGGGTCCTCTGCGTTTGACCGTTTTCTGACCGAGCAGTGTGCGACAGTACCAAGGTAAACCTCCATGATTCAAGCCAAGGTGATAGCCTTCGAAAATGGTTACGGGGTCAAGGTCGTAAGTAAAGGTCAAATGTCCCAAAAATGACTTTGAAAAGTTTGAGTTTAGTTTTCTGTAAGATGACCTTGACCTACGACTTTGACCCAATTATCTTTTCTGAAGGACGTCGTCTCTGCTTTCACCTCAAACATTAACTTTGATAATACAGTAAGAAATAAGGCCACGGCAAGCATAAACGCAAAGGCCCCGATATGGATGGGAAGTTTGGACTCAAGGTCAAAATCAAGGTCACGGCAATATTCACATCTAAAGGCCAATCCACTGATCAACACCAAATAGTATTTTATAGAAAATGGTGGCTTCGCGCAAAAATTAAAGTATACGAAAATTATATTAATTTTTATGAACTGCAGTGTTAGGCAGCTAGTGCAGTGTGTCGGTTTCCGTCTTAGTGTCTTGTTATTCGAGACTAAATAGTAAACAAAGCAAATGGCGTCAAACGGATGAAGTTTTCTCTCGTTAGAAATTAAAAGGTCGGTAAAATAAAAAGTTATTGATCGATTCGGCTGAAATTTGGTATGTGGTCATTGCTAGCCCCCCTTAACATCCTCGGAAAATTTCAAGTGCCTACGACCACGGGAACTGGTAGAGGTACGAAAGTGCAATAGCGCCCTTTTTTTTACTGCAGTAATATCGAAGTAGCCTAGTATGACGAGTGTCCAGATGATCGAGTCTAAATAGTAAATAAGCAAAGTGGCGTCGTCGGGGGAATCTTTACTACCTATCTAAAGTAAAAGATACGTAAAATGAGAAGCTACTGATCCAATCAACTGAAATCTGGTGTGCGGCCATCATTCGCCACCCATACTATCCCAAAATACAAATCTTTTTATACAACGATGGGACGTGGCAAAGAAAAGGAATTAACAGCCAAGAACTGGCCTATTCACGCTCTTCTTCGACTATTACAGTATTCGTATTACACACGTCGATACATTGCGGCACCCAAAGCTGATTTTAAAATGTAAAGTTTAACGTATATAGTCTATACAACCTACCTTGTCAATTACGTTAAATATCACTGACAATTACTAGTGTCTACGTGTAGTTCTAAGAAATTAAACTGAAACTGAAAATAAATTTCTGGGAAAACCACACTGTTAACTTTCTATATTGATTTTTACGTTAGTCCAATAATAAAGAACTGACTATGTACTGTTT